AAAACAAATTGTCCCATTTAATATTTAGTAATATATATGCACATAGGAATACAATAAAAATTAGTGAAAAAAGAGGCCATGAGTTTGAAGGAGAGGAGTAGGGGTTTGGTGAGAGGGTTTTGTGAGAGGAAGGAGAAGGGAAAATGTTGTAATTATATTACAATTAAAAACAGAATGAAACATTCTATGTTAACTAATGTCTAGGTTACAAAGTATTTTAGTTTAAAGAATAAGAAAATACATCTATCAGCTTGGGTGAGCATCAGGTTCTATAAACACATTCTTCTAATTCTAAGCAAAACACAGTTAAATTTTTAAGATAAAGCTAAGATCATTTATACATCAAGAAAACATTATAAACATATTGAAGTAAAAAGACTACTTCAAAAATATACCAGTAAAATTGTGCATCTTCAGACTATTTTGTGAGTAATTGTGTGGGGAGTGTATGTGTAGGTGTGTATCACATACATAGTAAACACAGTCATAAATGCAGAGAACTTATTTTCCATTTATCAATTCTTTCTATTCAATGAAAAACATGATAAGCATCAATTAATGCCAATTTGATGTTAATCATAACTTAAAAATATGAATAAATACTAAATGTGATAGAACTTGAGAAACTGCTAAAATAGCTATTAGGCATTTAAAACAAAATGAACTCTTTGTAAAAATTTAATAATATCTTAAATAATTCCAATTCTGGGTACGTATATTCTAGAATATATACAATACTAGATAATAAGCAATGGTTGATTTTGAATATAGTATTCTTTTGTAGTAGTGATAATATTAGAAATAAGTATTTGTTTTATGAAATACAGAATGAACAAATATATTGTGAACACTTATTAAAATGAAAATTGAGTAGTATTATTTTGTACATAAATTTGGATCATCTTTCAAAACATAAACTTGAGCAAACAAAATAAAGCAGGTTATATGTGGATAGTTCAGTATAATCATTTGGTTCATATATTCATAAACATACCATGAAGCTTGTGTCTTGACATCAAAGGCTTCTTTTAAACACATAGTGAAGCCACTCTTTAGCTTGAAGTAAATAGCTATAATTTGTCAGCCATGCTTGCAAGCATATTAGTTCTTATTATCAATGTATCTTTGTGTTTCTAAAGTTATTGATTGAAATACTTTTAAAAGATTCAGTATTTTATGATTCTTCTGACATGTGTACTGACTTAATGCTATGCCATATTGCTTTAAAATCCCCAAACAATTCAATTATTAAATGATTTAAAGTAATGCCTGAAAGTGCATACTCATTTCAACAACAAAAAGTTAAACCTAGCTATTGCATACAATATTGAAACACTTAACAGTTTGACTTCTCAAAAGATAAAATGACCTCATAATTTTCTTCAAATCCTTGTTAAGCATCTATGCATAGAAAGGCCACTGTGAAGCTATCACAACAGAACCTGACATTTTTCCTTTTACTTTGTAAAATATATTTATTCTATGAGTTTTGACAGAATATGTTTCAAGAGAAAATACTGATTTTCACCATATAGTAGAGAAATTTCTAGTGTCACAAGATGGATGTCAACTGTTTTCTTGGATATAAAGTTAAATTAATATAACCATTTGAGATGCTGCTGCAGATACAGATCCAAACTACTACTTCTATACCTATTAGTTAAACATAAAACTTACTGTATAAGTGTTTCATCTGTGCATGTAAGCCTTGCTTACTAGTTAAACATTAATTTCAGGAATATACATCATTCAACTTAGTGGTCATAAATTTTGCTTTATGGAAACCATCATGAGATGTTTCTAGAGCAAAGTACAGTGCAGATATTTATTCCACACCCAGAACTCCCCTAACACATGAATATTATACATTAATATTCATTCATCTGAAAAGAAAATGTGAGATGTATTTTAAAAGATGTAAAATGTAGAATGTCTTCTACAAGAAGAATAATGCTATATTCAGGTGAGAATAATACTGTCTATTGAAATGGGGAGCTTCAATAGTCAATAAGCTTCCTCCAGAAGAGGGTGCTCAAATGTTAGATGACTAAGAACAATGAAGACACTTCATAAGGCTGTCAATTAGATGTATATAGAATAATTATTTAGTCGTATTTATAAATGATTTTTCAGACACAATGATACTAATGGATAACTTTAAGCCATCTTACAATTTGGGTCTTTTAATTTAATGGGTAATCTTAGTTGAATTAGATTATATACAATAACATAACTGCAATAATGTGAATATATTGAAAAACATGGAACTGAAAGAAGGGTTGGTATGCAAAGGCAACTATCTCTAACTCTGAAAGCTGAAGTTCAATCCTCACAAGTCACATGGTGGAAGGAAGAAAGCAACACTCACAACATGTTCTCCCATCTCTACATATGCACTGTGATGTGTATGCACATGTGTGGGCAAATACACACATACACACACAGAATAAAAAATAAGTAAAATGTAATACAATAGTAACATGTTTCAGCATAGAGTTATTTTAAAAATATGTTAATGTATATAAACATAAAATTAGTTTAAACTAATTCAGCCACTAAACAGTAAGCAGCATGTGATTTAATTGGAAAGTAACAATGGTGGATATTATAAATAAAATATAACAAATTCATCAACTGGAAGCAAAATAATTTATGATGCTTTTGATCAAAATAAACTAGCAAGTTCTGCTTTTCTCTATTCTTTTGAGAGATGGAAACCATATTTCAGCTGTAGTAGCTGATAGTATGAAATTTTTAAGATATCTAATCTGAGCATTTGGATGAGAATAACATATTAATAATATAGAAGAATAAAAAAGAGACCACTATGAAGTATTTAATGAGCAATTAATCTCTGCGGTCTTTATCTTTACTTATACTTGCTCATGACTGTTAGAAAGTGAGAAACATTTGCCAAAATTGCCTATAGAGCTAACATTTACTAAGCAACATATAGGAAGGCAAATTTTTGCTATGCTTCAAGAAGGATATAAAACTGAGCCATGTTTGATATGTCTGTATGTTTATAAAAATTTGCAATGCAAAATATTAACAAATTTAGTCAGCACAGTCATATTGCAGCTGTGATGGACAATTTATAGTGTGGGCTCCAGAATCATTTCACACAAAAAACCAGAATTTTCCAGGAACCTGAAAATCAGAGTTCCTCTATTTTATTCAAGCCCTGTCACCTTACTTCACTAAGACAGAAAAGTTTTCCAACTAGTGTTATGGGAAGTGTTTTCTGGAAGCAATCTTGCACAGGAGAAATAAAAGGAAGCATATTGCCACGATCTTAGGATTGCAGTTTGTGTGTAGAAGAAATTACAATGAGAGAGTTGCCAAGGGACATAAATTTAATTCAGGAATTAGAAAGAAAAGAAGCCAGTTGTAGTTTTTGTCTGGTGATTTAGACAAAACATACACATATACAGGAGATGAAACAGAACTAGCTATCCAATCAGACTATAGAGTGTGCCAGTATGAAACAATTACAACTACTCTGAACTACTATTGACAGAATAACACTGTGCTTATATAGGAAGTTGTACTGTTTTCTTTTCTTGCATTAATAAAAATCATATGTATTTATATGCTGTGTTAAAGATGACTCTACAAATCTTTATCATGCATTGTTCAAACTCCATTGTTCTTCGTCAATGCTTTTCTTATAACTATCCTGCATTTGAAGGGAACCATGGAAATTTTGCTTCATGATAAATATTGCAGCAATTTGAAGGAAATGGTGCTTGAAAGGCTCTTTGTGTTGGAATGAATTCCTTTCTTTTCTGTATAAAATCTAAACAATTGACACTGAAGACCATTGCCATACTATATTAGCAATTTTTTGCCATTATATTTCATAAGAAATTTCATTATTATGTAAGTCTGAAATATGTAAATGATTGTAATTTTCTTATGACATACTTGGGAATATTAATTTTTCAGGAATTTTATGTGATAGTTTAGTTCAGTCTACTTGGGATGTTAATGCAAATTAGCTTAGAAATACAGTATAACTAGGGAATTTAAGAACTCTCATACATTTGTTTTAAATGTTGGCTGTTAGTTATTTTACAGATATTAAGTGGTTTAATGACATAGTTTTGCTTGCTAAATTTCTCAATTATTATGATATATCAAATAAGAATATGCAATACAATATTTAATTCGTATTAAATAGCTCAAGACAAAGTTGGTCTATAATGATCAGCTCTCTTTTCTTGGGCCTTATTAACCTGATTTTATGTAGTTCCCTTAGTTAGACATCAATGTGAAATGAATATACACCATAATTATAATTTGCATGGATTATTTTAGTTTTAGGTTTGTTTTGATTTTGATACTAAGGTCTGAACCTAAGTCTTCAGTACTGTGAGAAGCATCTGGAATGAAGCCACATCTTACCAGATCTCTGTTTCTCCTTCACATTTTCATTTTGATGGTGTCTAACTACATTTCTTAGGCTAGCCTGCAGCTCACTCTGTAGCCCACACATCATTTGAACCTGTGATCATCTCACCTCAGATTCCTGAATTACTGGGTCCTATAGCTCTAGGAGTAGTGCTCATTATAAAACTTTATTATGTTTTGGAAAGTGCTTTATTCACTGGAAAAGGGAATTTCATAGGACACATTAAAGTATGGTATAAGTAGACTGTAAGCATGGAGAATAATTAAATATCAAGGTATTTACTAGTATGCATATGGTAGCTAATGTTGAGTAATGGAAATAAATAATCTGGTAGGGTTTTAATTTTAAGTGGAAATTTAACACTATAGTATTGAATTAGAAATCCAATCTTGTTTTTAATGCTTTATTTTGGTTCTTTAAGATACAATTTCTAGACAGACAGTACCATCTACAGTTTATAGCAATTTAGTCATTCCATTAATTTCATTTATCAAAATCTCATTATATAAAATTAGGTTGTAAGTTCCCAATAATGTAATTAGAAACTAATCCAGTGTGAAACGTGTTATCAAGTGGACAGGCTTACCATAGTTGTTTCTGCAATGGAGCCAAAGCTGTTTATGAATATGTTGCATGTGACATTAACTGGAGGACCTGGAAAAGAAAAGAATATTATGAAGACTGATAGATGCTCACCTGAAATATTTTTGAGTGATTCTGTGGTTTTCAATACTTACAAAAAGAATAGGGGTATTTTTGTATGTTCATAGATATGCAGCCCAGCAGGCAGTTATTCTGGAAGTGTGGGTGAAAAATCTCAAGGTTGGTATGATATCCTTTGAACAGTGGCACTGTCTAATATATAAAAATGTATTCTAGTGAGTTTAGAGATTGCATTTATGTGAAGGTGTATTTTCATGTTCCACAAAGACCAAATGGAGCCAATTCTGGTTAAACTCAGGCTTTGCACAGGCAAGAAGAAAAGGAGAAGGGAGAAGGAAGAGCCAATTTCCTTTATCTCCAATTTGTAGCTGTTTTGGGACTGTCTGATGAACATAGTCTATGAGTCACTTTAGCAACATTGTCCTGGTATTTTCCCCAGGATATTTTTCTGACATTGCTTGTCTCCTAAAATTTTGTTGAAATAAGAAGTATTAAGCAGGCCATGTGATACATAGCTAGACAATGTATGGCAGCATACCCCCAGACCTATATACACATTGACCTCCAATCCACACTTTTTATTGCTTTTAGGTTTTATTCTTTGTTGGTCAGTGAGTTACAGTGGCTTCTAGTCACTGAAATTTTATTCTGTGAACTTTGAGGTCAGAATGGTTGCACAGAGGTTTCTTGAGTTCCATGAGCCTGTAATTATCGACCCAGTCAGGGAATTTCATTTCCTCTGAAGGCACTGCTTCTATGTTCAAGACTATATGACTTTCTACCTTACCTTTCTCTTCTTAGTACAGGGCCTATGCTCAGCCAGAATGGATAGACAGCACAACCAGGTTCTGACTGTTTCCAACAAATCTTCAGGGAATCAGGACTTTCCCCAAACATGTTCTAAGACAAGCCAATTATCGGGTAACTTCTGTTGTGAAGCTCTGGACAGGCCACACAATGACAATTCTTTCCTGATGTACTGCCAAAAGAGCTCTAGGGTTGTCCATTCTCTCAGAAGCTGCTAGAATGGTGCTGTATTTCAGGCTACTATAAACCTGGGCAATGGACCAAATTTAATTGCCTTTTGATATTAAGGAATCCATCAGTTTTTCTTGAATAAACACTTCCTAGACTGTTTCAACCTTGAGCTTAATTTTAGGATTCTGAGGGCTAATTTTGATGATTCTGCCAATGTTTCATTGAAAGGAGATTCTACACTCAACTATCCTCCACTGCCTTCTAAATGCTTGATTACAGTCACCATAAATTCAAGGAATTTCATTAGGTCCATTTTTTTTTCTTCCTCACTAAATATCTAAAACCTGTGAACAGCAAATGGAAGAGTCACAGAGATACACTATTGATAACTCAGCTGGGAGATCTGGGATCAGTTAACTCTTGAGTGCTTCTTGCCAACTATAGGATATTACTTCCTCCAAAATAATCGAGGACTCGGCCATGTTCTACCATTTGTACATTAAGGTATCCAAGATATCAAATGCCATAGGGGAAAATTTAGGCGCTATATGTAGCATGGTAAGGTACAATTTTTCTTTCTTTTCTTTTTTTTTCAAGACAGGTTTCTCTGTCTTGTTTTGGAGCCTGTCCTGGAACTTGCTCAATAGATCAGACTGGCCTCAAACTCACAGAGATCCACCTGCCTCTGCCTCTGCGATTAAAGGCATGCACCACCAACACCCAGCAGTAAGGTCCAATTTTAAAAATCATGTTTTCATAACTGTGTGATCTTTTCCCTAATATTCTTTAGATGATATTCTATAAACATTCAATTATCTGGACCCAAGTTCTGTAATTAGGCTGATAGCTATATAAATGAAGTATTTTGTTGTACAGATTAAATTTCTCTGCTTTAAAATTTATGTGAATTAATTGTAGAAGAATGACATACAAGCTAACATATGAGAATAATTTATTTTGTTTCTCTAGATAATACATAAGGGTAAATTTATTTTCAAGGTTGAATATAAGAAAACAGCCTCTAGGCCCATCTTTACCTTTCTCTTTTTAGAAAAAATTAACTGTTTTAAGAGATAATTTTTTGGGAGCTTAGGGAATGGTTCTGTGAGTAAAGGCTTATGCTGTGAAAAGATGAGGACCTGAGTTCCAATCCTAAGTACCCAAACAAAAAATTCTAGACACGCATGTGTGTTCCTGGAGCCCCAGCATTGATGGGTGGTAAACTAGTGAGTTTTAGCAGCTCTCTGGTCATCTTAGCCTAAACTTTTCTCAAGGCAATAAGGTAGAGTCATATAGGGAAACACTTGTACCCATTTCTTATTCCTACATTTGAGCGACTGCCATACACACCTACCTACTCACATGCATAGAACACACACACACACACACACACACACACACACACACACACAATAACAACAAAAGAGAGAGATTCCTTGTGTATTCACCTGAAGTTCTAAATAAGATACTTAATGGTATAGACATATGTTCTGATGCTCACACAGATGCTATAGACTGAATCTTTTCTTTTCTTCATATTTCTGTCCATAATCCAAACACAAAGTATTTTAATATCCTATTACCTGTAAAAGTTATATTTTAATTTTATGTAATATTCATTTTCTAATACCATTATAGCAATGCAAATATTCTTCAAGTGTATTATTAATTTACACACAAGTTCTGAATGTGATGTTACCATACCTAGTTGATCAGGGGTTTGAATATAAAGGTTTATGTGTCACATAAGGAAACAAATTTGTACTTACAGAAAAGCAATGTTCAAAGAAAAAGTATGTCATTTAGACTTTTACAAACTGTTGTAGAAACACACTAAGCCAGAAAATACCTATAATTTCATTTCATTTCTTACAGATATTTTTTCTGAAATTAATAATTGCATTATGTATTCCTCATAGCTTCCTCCCATGTGTGTCATTACTGACCACAAAGTCCTAATTATGTAAATTATTCATCTATGTATGCAAATACTGTAGTGGTTTCATTTTTCTTGGACCTATCAAGAATATTCTTCTCTATAGCAAAGCAGGAAACCTGTTTAAGTGTGCAAGTTGCCAACAGTGCACTGGGAAATGTTCCAACTGCTTTGTTTTGTGGGATGCTCTTTCACGATGCCCATTTCTTCCTTGTAGGTTCATGTCTTCATTTTAATTGAAGATGTCTTCTGTTAATTTTTGAAAAAGTACATATGACTATAACAGTTTAGAGCTTACTTACCTACAGATGCATTGTCGTAGGTTTTCTTACAAAAATTTAAGCTAGAAATAATTTTTGCTTCTAAGTTTTGATGTCATGCCTCAATTTTCCAGCATTGCTATAGAAAATTACAAAATGTTGATTTGTGATCTTATGAATGACTTACTTTTCTTCTAAAATTGTGTCAGCTAGAAATTGTAATGACATATTCAGAACTTGTGGATAAATTAAAGATAAACATGGAGAATATTTGCATTGTTATAATAATTTTAGAAAGTGAATGTGACATAAATATGCAATTCTAACAATGTCTGGATAATAAGATTTACAAAATAATTTTGCATTTGGGGGTTGGATGGATGTATAAAAAAGGCTCAATCTTTATCTTCTGGGTGAGAATAAAAGGATATGCCTCCAGCATTAAATTGCTTAGTTATAAAACTCAAACCAATGGAAGGCTGAGCTTTAAGGTCTAGTTGTATTTGGATACATTTACAAAACAGTTTCATACCTATGGGTCAGGATCCTGCAAAAGAGGAGGTGGAAAGATTGCAAAAGCTGGAGGATCAGGGAGTTTGCTGAAAGATTGTGTCTGATAATAATCAGAAGCATCATACATAAAGTCTCACCAGCACAACTCTCCAAATGTGATCGGAATAAGGAAGTGTTGATGGAATCACCAAGGTGGACAGGGAAAATATCATGAGTCCTCAACCTTACACACAGAACTATAAGCAAGTGTGTAAAGCTAGCAGTGGGAGACGCAGTCATCTCCAGAATAGAGAACAAATAAATGGCTGTCCAGTGCTAAATGGTCAAACTGTAAAACATACATACAAGTAATATTATATGGTTGAACAGGTTACATGTAGGAATATATACACATATTTACATACATATCTAATTGCCATGTAATTAGTAAAGGCATAAATTTGAAGAGCAAGGGGGTATATGGAAGGGAAGAAAACAAAGAGAGAAATACTTCAATTACATCATAATCTCAAACATAAAGCTGAAAAATGAAAATCAAAAATAATGAACAAAATAATAACTTATTGAGATAACTTGCTGTAAATGTCCAAAGAATTTGGTGGTAAGAGAAAAAGGAATTTGCTCCATTTCTTTGTATTTCATCAGTGTGATGTCACAAGTGTGATGTCCTTCACTCCATGCAAGTCTAAAGTGATATACTCTGAAAATATGCACAGGCATGGTATCATTAGAAACTTAAAGTATTTTTCACATTTTCAGGCTCCTATCCTGCGATTCCATTTACCAGTAAACACTGCTATTTTCTCTTGCTGATTACAATGCAAGTATCAGGGTCATGCTTTAGTTTCAGATTAATTATGTTATATCTTCTTGATTTTCCTTTAGAAAAGAAAACTAGAAATTTGCTAGTGTTTCTTTAATTCACTTTCAATAAAATGCAGATGAAGATGCAAAATAATATGTGTATATATATGTAGTCTGGGAAAACAGCTTGGGGAGTCTTAACAGGACTACCAGTCCCATTCATTTGTTGAAACTGAGAAAAAAAACAGAAGGGGGTGACTTGCCTTCCTTATCTTATTATGAAGGGCCTTTGCTGTAAAACTTTGATTTGCACTAGGCATTGAGTAAAAGATATGGTATTCTCTGATTATTTTTAGTACCATCTTTTAAATGTGATATTTTTATTAGCTCAAATTAGAAACAATCCTGCTTTACATGTCAATCCTTGCTCCTTCTCCCTCCTCTCCTCCCCTGCCCTCACCGGTCCCCCACCCCATTCCCCCTCTGCTCCTCAGGGAGGA